CCAGTTTATACCGGCTCGTCAGTTCCCGGTGAAAAAAGAATTGACTGGCGCCCGCCTGGCTTGCGGATGCACGAACGACGGGGGGACGGCCGAAGGGAACGTAGGTTGGTTCTCGAAGATAGTTCGTCCTCGTATGTTTTGCTATCGGTGTCGGGTCATAAGTTAAAAGAATTACGTTACAATATATATACTGTAGTGGTTTAGGGCGAATAAATGCACGGTCAGTGTACTGAAATGTGGAATCAAATTTCGATAAAATCGACATCGGTCAGCGACGAAACCACGTGGAAGGGAGGATCCACTTGATCTTCATTCAAATGGAATCTTATCGGTTTTGGAAGCCCGCGAGATTTATTTCTAGATGGGGAGTCGCTATCGGAAGGTTATAAGGTTATCAGGTTATAAGGTCACGGAGTCGGACTTTGGGATCTTTTTGATACTTTTACGTTTTAACAGGTCGCTTTTTATACTTCGCCTGAATTAACTTGCGGATCCTTCGCCTTGCGTGAGTTATAAAGTTTATATTGTAAGGGTGTAACGGGTGTCTGGTTTTGTATTGACTTTACTCGGCTGTGATTTATTACTGTTAAATTAATTATGTCTATCCTGTGCATTCGGTATTTATTGTTAGACGTTATATTCACTGTGTACCTACAAGCGACGCAGAACGTCCATATGCTCGAGTTGTTTTGGCGATCGATCGTGTTTTTGATATCACCTGGGAAATTCGACTGTCGAAATTGGAAAATCTCCAGAGAGTCAAGGAAAGACATTAAAGAGGGATAAATGGTAATTTATTGTACGGGGAAAAATTTTCACGCTATTTATTTTTCTTGCGGGGGCTGAAAGTATCTGTATATTTTCCCGATATATATATATATATATATGTTCGATATATATAAATATATTTTTCACGCAGCGATATTTGGTAGAATCTCGTATATACATATATGCATGCATAATACATTTACCTGCTGGTTCGATATATATAAATATATTTTTCACGACGCTATTTATTTTTCTTGCGGGGGCTGAAAGTATCTGTATATTTTCCCGATATATATATATATATATATGTTCGATATATATAAATATATTTTTCACGCAGCGATATTTGGTAGAATCTCGTATATACATATATGCATGCATAATACATTTACCTGCTGGTCGAACAAATAACATCGGGGTGGCCATTGTGAAAGGTTGAAATACTTTTTTTGTCAAATTTTTTTATGGGTATCATAAACTTTTGTTCGAACCGCCAGCACTGTTATAAAGTGGGGATTTAAAAAGATCATTGTTGAAAAAAAAAAAGGTTGATCGGATTTATTTGATCTGGGAAAAATGGGAGGACTTTGCGACTGATCGAAATCATTGGATCGCATAAATAAATTATAAATTGGAGACTGTGGGGTACCGTCGTCATTGATGAATTTAGATCGCGCTTCGGTGCTGTTTATAATATCTTCATTCATCTTCACCGAAGAATTTTCGACTTAACGTATGTATACCTAAGCGCTTATCGAAATTTACGGCATACGTGAAATAATGTATCATTAACGTTGACGTTATAACTCTAATGTAAATCTGCGGATCGGAATACGCGGAGATAAAGCAGCCAATAGCATCTTCTCACTTTGCGATATTTCAGGCGCCTCAACCGACTGACGTATCTGTCCCACGATATTTTTAGATATCAAGTGAACAGGCACAACAACGTACAGTCACGCAGCGAAGGAATCGCGCTCGCCGGTGAAATTTGCAATTCCACTTTTTGAATTTCCCGCCGTGAGCGTGCACTATGAATTCTTCAGATTCACGCCTCTTTTACCTGAATTCTTAACTTTTCAAAGAATTTTCACGTCCGACTGTACCTTACGTTGCAACTGGTTCGTTCGATGCTACTGGATGTTTTTATCATGGACTATACGTGCCAACACCATTTTTCTGGATTTTCCAATGCTAGTGCACTGATATATATATGTATAGAGAGACACATACACGTGGCTCTTTCTATGTTATTCTTTACTCCCTTTTTACTGCAACAAGTTCAGGTGGCCAACCTATATTTCTTTCTCATTTTCTTCCCACTAGATTGCTCATCCTTACTATTCCGTTACCCTATAGCGCTCTTCACTCTTATCAAACATTATCATTATGTTTTGCACTTTTTTTTTTTTATTATATATTTATATTTTCATTACCGTCTCCCTTCTTTTAATTACATACTGTACTTTGTTTCCATGTACTTCGAGCGTTGCACTTTCACACTGCATAACTGTCAGGATTGTCAGCTTCTACTGTCAGCGTAAAGACCTTATGATTATCCGCAACTTTTCGCAATATTTTTTTAGCACCTTCTCCACATACGTGCAAGTTCAATATTTTCCCAACTATTTTATACGTCTTTGCTACTTTCCGCTTATACGCGTGTTTCACTCTTTTACTTCGTAGCGAATAAGAAATCTCTCGTAGCTCTAGTCTTTTCTTCTCTTCTCTTTTTTTTTTTTTCTCTTACGTTGGCAATCTTCACTCCACCTAGTAGTACCTACTCACTTTCCTTCGCTGTCGACTTTATGACTCCACGTAATACTTGGCAAAAATATTTACGACAGCTAGAATAAGATGACGACATAACGATAAAGAGGATTGGGTGAAAAAAGGAGGAAGAGAGATAGAAAATACCAGATGAATACAACAGATAGACAAGTGAATGCGTAGGAGAGTAAAGGAAATGAATAACGAGAGAGAGAGAGAGAGAGAGAGAGAGAGAGAGAGAGAGAGAGAGAGAGAGAGAGAGAGAGAGAGAGAAGAAAAGGAGACACGCCAGTTTCCAGAGATAATATTTTCTCGTTCAGTGAATGGACGTCGCAGCTTTCCCATAGAGGCGTCGCGACGCATTTAGAACCTGTCGTTACTTATTTACAAAATGATAATAATCACAGCAACCTTTTCATACAATAATGAAATATGAAAAATGCCAAAACAAAATTTTTGTTCTATCCTACAATTTTTTTCATAATTTACCGAATTTGCTTTCGGGCGATGCATAACGAACTGTTACGTTTCTTTTCGTTGTTTACTATTTTTTTTTGTTCATATGTGGAGCGAGCAACGTTCAACCCCGAACGACCCTTAACACGGTTACAGCACAATAAATGCACCCTCTTTCCCTGGAACGAGAAAGCTGATCACTCCGTTACACACATGTCCACACGCACTGATTCAATCTCAATACCCAATAGCCATTACGCGTCGTTCGATCAAAATCCAAATTTGCGGTTCACGTGAGATTTGCGTAATTTCAGGAAAAAATTTTTTCCACGAGCCCCTTTTTTAAATCTGGAGGGCAAAAAAAGCATGGCACGTGACCAGTTGTCACTTATGTATCTTTCCGTTGTTTTATTTACGTCACACGTGTAACTTCCACCTTCGCTTTGAAAATTTACATTATCATCCACTCGCACCCAGTATCATCCACCCCTTCACTTTCCTCGTGTGCTTCACTTTCACACTCGACTGTAGCCACGAGGAATCTCTCGTAAAAATAGAAGAATAGACGTCCCACGTGTGTAAGCACACGTGTTACACACGTATGTACCTACAAGGTTCGCTGAGAGACGTCACATTGTGACCCCGAGTTTTTGACCTACGAAACAAAAAAAAAATAATTAGGGCAGGGTCGCGTCCCCAATATACTCAGTGTCTCTGGGTTGGAAAGCCTCGTTGACGACGCCTCCCTTCCCCTACTTGTCTTTTTTATTTCTTTAATTCAGTCCTCGCACGGCTTCTCCCAGCAGTCGTCATTGTCGCCAACTCTTTCGTGACCTTTGCCCCGCGCGAGGCACGCGCCAAATTTCTCCCGTGGAAGAAGAAAAGTCGACCTGCATACATATACGTACAACTCACGTGCCATACACGATTCAGGCTGATATGGCTTGGGCCATAGCACAAACTATAGTTTAAAATGAAGCACGGAGTATAGAAGAAACCACAGGGCGGGGATAGGGAGCGCAAACCATAGTGCAAACCGTGTAACATATCGTGGGCACAGTACCAGTGATTAATTCGCAGTACATCAAGATCCAAAAGTTTTTTTACGATTCGCCGACACGTGAGTAACCAGACTTTATGGTCCAGCCCGAGTCCCAATTTCTGTGCCCGGAGACCGTCTTTCTCCTTAGGGTCTACAGGGTGGTTCAAAGGTGCTTTACGGGGTCGATCCACTTCGGGGAGCTCCGTTTTGACCAGTCTATTAGGGACTCGGTCCTGACAGCTTGTCTTACACTGCTTACACCGCTGCCGAAGCATCTAGCCAAGGGTATCTAATCCCGTCCTCGTAAATTAGCGTCCCGACGCAAGGCGTCGTCTTCTTGGTGCGTCTGTGTGCGGGCTTGTGTATTTATATGCATGTAAAAGTAGGGGAGGCAGTCATGGCTCCGTGGATGTCTGTGTTCACGGCCTTCTTCGCATTCTAACCTGTTTTCATGTAACGACTTTAACGACTTCCACGGATGGGGAATGGAAGTCACGTCGAAGCACCCATTTGGACGTTGTCAATTAATCGCGTTAATTATTCTAATTAAAGATACGCGGCTAAGATAAGTAGAAGTCAGGCTCGAGCGATTTTGATAATGTCTCTTGGGATTTGAATATTTAATTTCTCTGTTATGCTGCTTTCTACTCTTACTTCATTCGGCAGTCGCTTTGACGAAGATGTGCTCTTCATTTTCTTTGTATTGCCATTTGCACTCTTGTACTATATATTTGTCTTTGTTCCACTCCACCGGCTACTGTAATTTCAATCTGGTATGCAGTTTGTTTATCGTATGCACAATTTGGTACTGAGGACAAGGCGGACAGTTGTATGTGAAATTTTCTTTTATTTCTTTTTTTCTTTTTTTTTTTTCACGAATTCATAGACGTGGAGGAAAAATAGAAGGGGCATACAATTTTTTCGTTCCTTTTTCTTTTTACAGTCAAAGGAAGCCGTGTCGATCAGCTCGCCGATTCGTGTGCGCCACGCGGGACACGTTAGCCGAACGCGTCGGTAAGTAAATATTTGGCAATATACAGGGTGACTGTATACGAATGTGGAAAAGTCGATATGTTTAGTTTTTTTTTTGTTTCCAGTCTTTCACGCTGCTTAATCGATGCATACTTTGCACGTGGTTCAAAATTTTTTATTGATACGCAGCGTGCAGTATGCATGAGTGATGAGTGCGGGTGAAGATATATTTTTTTTTTTTGGAAAATAAAAAATAAAAATCACGCAGTGTTTTGATCGTTGACGATTGTTCATTGGTATCGAGCCGAACATTAATTGTCTGTTATCGGTGACTCCGCGTGACTGTCTTGTAACGAACTTCTTTTTTTTACTGAAGTCCCCTCGTCAGTTCCTACACCTTTTTAACTTTCGGCCGTCTATTTTCGATCGGATGACGTAATCCCGAGTGGATCTTAAAAAAGAAACAGTTCACGGTAACGTTCAATTTTTGAACGACACTCTGGCGGTTGATTACTAATTAAAAAGGCGATTTCCGTCACGTGGGTTGACCGCGTGCTGACGTCACGAGCCCATCGAACCCCCTAACGCTCGCCAATTAAATAAATATCAATTACCAAGCGTCCAGCTGATCGATTGACAGCTGTCAAAATACAAAGCAAACTTCATTTTTATCAGTCGCGACGTCATACTCAAATTAGGTTTCTTTTTTTTTTTTTTCATATAGATTTATCGTGTAAAACGTAGCAAAATTTGTGAGCCGTAAAATATATATTTTTTTTTTTGTAATTTTAATAATTATCTCTTCTCCGTATCGGCTGTTATCGTCACATTATTAGATTGTTCGTGCCACGCGGTATTGGGTTATTCATTTGGTCGGCATAGTGAAACTTTTAATGACGACTATGGATGCGCGCCTCTATGTATAATTTAGCATACGTTACGTTACGTCACGATACGCTATGTCGCATTACGTTCACTTGACGTTTGTTACTTGATTAAGGACGGTTTATTGAACGTGGCTTACCTACCTTCCCGCCATACCCATTCAGTTAGGCATGAACTTTTGACTGAGGATGTACTCACTAACGTGGACAGGATTATGATAATTTATTGTAACGAAAGTAGAGGATAGTACAAAATTTGGCAATTTTTGCATACTAGAACTTGTTTAGCAAAAAAAAATTTGGTAACTATGTATATAAAGTTTTTTTTTTTTTTTTTATAAAAATACATAACGTATATGATATATTAATTGAGCTTTTCAAAATGATCGCGAAATTTCAGATTCAATGCAACGTGTCATTTGATATTAAAATTTAATGTTTAATGATTTTCAAGGATGACTCGAGTCAATGAATTTGTTTTTCCCTTGCAATTAATAATAATTAATTGGATGATTCAGGGAAACCTTTATGTGCGATCCAACAAGCACGCATCGTGTCCGGAGGTTGCATGTGTAAATCTGTGAGAGTACGTTATACGCTGTTGCGAATTTTCATTAAGGTAATACGATTGGGTGCAGATTGCAAGGTTTGAAAAAGTTTAAAAAAGTACAGATCAAGTAATAGTTGCATTCAACTTGGGGATCTTTTGGTTTCGCTAATTTCCACGCCGACGGGCTTTTGTCAATTTTGCCGTCGCGATGCAATTTATTTATTGTTACTGCTATACAAAGGGTCGGGCAAGTAATGCAATCAGGAACATTAATGACATCCGGTGCCTCCTCTTAATAGACGACAAGCCTGCAAGTGCAATAGCGGAAAATAGACCGGCGTCTCCGGTTGACTGTAAATATTGTTTGACCTCGTTCGGACTTTATTTTTTTTTTCTTCTTCTTTTGTCGCTATAATTTAGTATAATAATTTTAACAATAAATGCAAGAATTTTTTTGACACTGTAAAAATTAAGATTCTGACTTTGCGCTTTTCACTTTTATTAGGTAATACCGGACGATGCGTCTTTTGGTGGGGAAAGTTAAAACTTTGTTGTTGTCTTTGTTTTTGCTATATTCGTTACTATTAATGGTTGAATTGCCGTCTACCCAGGGTAACATAATTTAATTTCGTTAGTGGCAATTAGGCGGCGAGGTAAATTTTCATTAAATCTTATGTTATAGGTGTGTGCTGTCTGACACGTAATGGGTGTTACTACTAGTAGCATAAATGCGTGTGAGTATACAGTGACGCAAGATGACAGTACGACGGACTGTCAGCACGTGAACGTGTCAACAGGATATCTTTGGCATTTTGGAGATTCCATAAGAAAATAGTTGGACAGTTTGCGGAATGGTAAGTGATAAAAGACAAATCATTTTAAGTAAATGAAAGTTGTGAAATTTGACAGGCGCATCGGCTGTAACCATAAAAGTTTAAAATTGATGATTCGGATATCGAAGCGTGGTTTTATCGAGAGGTCGATATTTTATCAACGACCGATCTTGCAAATTGAAATTTCAACAGTATAGCGAGATAACGATGTGCATTCACAATCGCAAGAATCAATCCGTACAACAAGTAACTACAGTGATGCCAAATTGGAGTTATCGTTCCCGATAATTTTCCGTTAGTTTTACGTTTTTGAAAAAAAAAAAAAAAAAAAAAAAAAAAATTTGTAGTCAAATTAATTTTCAGCTCATTAAAACGTACGAGTACCCTTATCTCACTGCCTCTCGAGAATTTTCAAAAATTTTTTTTACAATTTTCAAAATCGTCGTCAAACAAAATCTTCACGATCAACCTACCTGACCATCTACTATATATCCATATATATATATATAAAATTTTTCAAAATCATTCCTTACCTTTACACTGTTTTCAAAATCACTACCCCTCACTCTTGTACCAGTCAATTTAAAAAGGAAAACTCCACTTACAGCGATATTCGCGCACCTTTATTACATGCGTTTCGAAAACATAAACTCACGCCGCATAGATCACGATGTTCGCGCGAATCCCTTAAAAAAGGTATCAGACACATAACCTCCGAACGGTTTGATTATGAAAAAAGCCGAAAAAGTGCAGGTTGCTTTTTACGTAAATACGCGTCAGGTATAAGCCAACTATTGTAAGGTGCGACTATTGCATAGTGGTAGACCAGGCTAAGAAAATACAAGCGGAGGCGCGACGCGCCGCTTTACGAATAGCGCAACGTGACACGAGCGCGCAGAGACGCACGACGTCTACTAAACCCGACGAAGCCCAGAGGGTTGAAACGTGGTTGCCGTCGCGACGCTTTCGCGGTTCGTCGGCCGGCGTCGAGTACCTTCGGTCTGACGTCCGCCTATAATCGCGCGCCTCCTTCTAACGACCACCGTTAGGCGCCTATCTGCAAGCCGACGTACACGACGACGTCGACGTCGACGTCGACGTACACCAGGAAACTCGGGGTAGCGTTCAAGCCGCGACGTCGTCATGACGACGTAAACTCCAAAATACACATCGCTCCGTGGATACCCGGCTTTGCATTTTCTATTTACACTATACGCGTATATCTATACGCGTCTTCAGCGGATAGCCCTATCACGGTAATGGTGCTACTATCGGTAACGCTATACCACTATCGTTAGTCAGTAGCAGGCGTTAGTTGCCGGTCGAACGGCTGATGAAACTATTTTTAGTTTTTTTTTTTTGTTATTATTTCTACGAAATTTCGCATTGCTTGCGATCGAGTGGTTTTAATTTTTAATTTCTTTGATACTGTTTTTTTTTTTTTTTTTTTTATATATTTTACAGTGATCCATGATTGCTTGGAATCATGCAGTCTTAAAAGGGCGTGTACGGATTGGTTTTGGAGGTTTCGGAAAAATTTTGATATTTTTGGAATTCTCTTTTTTTGCTTGTGTGACCTTACGAGCTTGTATTTTGCTCGGGTATGTCATATTGAGCTACGGTAATGTGAAACTTGTAGTGGGCTTTCGACAGACGATATAGGTGGTATTACTATACCGTTAGATTCTTCAGGCTTTCTATGCAGCTGCAGTGCTTTGCAGTAATGACGTGCTTCACTGTATTCTAATGGTACGGATGGGCCGCTAATGTTGTACGTTAGTGGGAATTTTTTTTTTGGGAATTTTTGAATTGAATTGGGTTCACGAAATGTGAGCCCGGGTAGTTTTAGAAAATTGTTATGTAAATTTCGTCGAGTATGACGTGGGTTAGAAGTAATTGCTTGGATTTGCAACTGCGCGTTGATTGATAATCGCAGCTGCAAGGTTTTACCGTAAGCTGCTGTGTATCGGGTGTTTTGGAAAATTTCCAAAAAAAAAATTTCAAGACATACGAGCATTCTTATACGGTTACGCATGCTACCAGGGTGATTCATTTTTATTTTTAATTTACATTCTTTTTTTTTTCCATGTCACAAAGTCCTCTTATAATCTTTATCTTTAATACGAAGCAAACTGAACTTTTGGCCAGAATCGACGACGAATTCCATTACGGCTGATTGATTTGATGAATAATTACTAAACGCGCCGCTCCGATCGTCCCGAAGTTGGTAACATTGACTGCCGCATTCCTCATTCAATCAAATTCAAGCTTTCAGCATTTTCTCATCCGAACCAGCCTTCACGGTATATTCGAAGAAGCGAAATAACTTGCTTACGTGTCTGTAAGGTTGGGTGCAATTTTTTTTCCAAAAAGTCCTATCGCCCCAGGTGACCCAGCAAGTCGATATTACGTTGAAAAGTAAGAACGCTAAATAAAAAATTTCCGAAGGGTCTTCACGACACGTTGTTTCGCATTTCTGCTATTGTATGCTGGTACCACCAAAAAGCTGTGTATAATGGCTAATTAAGGATTGACAATAAAAATAAAAAATTATTTCTATCACTCGGTTCTATTTTTTTTTTCATTTTGTAAATTTTCAGACTGCCTCACTTTTTTTTTCAAATTTCGTCAAATTTTCGATATATTCAAATAACATAGTTTACTTGAATAAGTAGCCAAAGTTTATAGACCCATTCGCGGCTGTGTTAACACGTTCGCCAATCTAAAGGTTAAGCGTTTCCAAATTCTACCCACTTTTGTATCGGGGTCGACCTATTTAATAACGTTTTTCATTCCGAAAATTAATGGTAAGCACAAAATTCCCTAAAATAGGATTTAATAATCTTTTACGCGAAAAATCCGGGAGAAGAGAGGTCGTGACCCCGGCTGCTATTTCGCTCTTACTAAACCGAGTAGATACTCCCTGTACCTAGTCAGACACTAGAATTGGGCCATAAGGGTTCATCCTCTCTGCGGGAAGTAAAGGAACAATCGGATTTCCAACGCTTCTGTCTTCTCCCGAGTGCAATCGCACTGCAACCTATTCGATTGCAGTCAATGCAATTGCGCAAGAACAATTTTATCCGAAGTAAAAGGAATCTCGACTCCCTTGAAAATACATAATCCCATTGCATTACTGTACAATAAATATAATTATTCCGCACAGTCAGATTGCACTTCGTACGGAATTTATTTTTCAGATACCGCGTATGCTTTATCTTCAATTTTTCAAGGAGGTCAGATTCGTCAAGGTCCAAAGCAGTACAGGACCTGCCAAAGAGATTTCACCCTGGCCGCTCGCGACGCGGTTGTTACGCAAAGTGTCTCTTTGGTATTTTACATTATTCAGCGACGGTCTGCGATCCGCTCGAAAGTTTAGCCCATCGTGCAAAATATTTATTAGTCATTATTCTCGAATTGCAGAGACCCTCGAATCTCGCGAATGCTGCTTTTCTTATGTATTTTAAATTTTTACTTTGCAAAAAAAATTTCACTTGGAAATAAGACTCCCGTGTCTTTATTAAATATATTGCGAATAACTTTAGCTCGCGCAGTGCGAAAAGCGAGGGACGAAAAAGAAAAAGTAATGACGAAACGCTCCTGGAATGACAGATGAAATATTACAGTCGCAACAAAAAGTTTAGGATATCCAAGTTCGATTAAATGACAATTTCACTTGCTGTCGCGTGCCTTTCAATTTGGTGTTCTCGGCCCGCGAAGAAATACAAGGGAGATAACCAATGATAAAACGATAACAGGAACGTAAAGTCAGTGCAGGACGATCGAAGAGAGGAAAAGTGGCCAAGCAATCTTCTTCTTATTTTATATTTAATCCTTCGTTTATTCTTGTATCATAGGATTCCACCGCTAATTGGAGAATAATCTGCTGGCATGGTACGGATCGAGGGGGTGTGAACGTGGAAAAAAAAATAATACACAAAAGTCTTATCGAATAGTTATTTTTGGATTCCCCACTGAACTAGGCTACTTCGAGACAGACCTCCCCCCTCAGGCCCGTACCCCTATTACTCGCCGCCCCGGTGTTCCCACCGATTCGTACTTTCGTTCTTTATCATGATCGTGCCGAGTCCATAGGGGCCATTTTCCCGTGAGAATAGGATAGACTGATTGCAGATTCTGTTATTACGTAAAATTGGAAACGGCACACACGTTGATACGTGACGTCCTTCTGGGCTCTGACGTTTGCGTCAGAAAGAAAGAGATAAATGCTTGATCGGCTGGTATACTGATCGATGTGTGGAAAATATGGCGCAGATCGTATCGTATAGGTAATTCGAGTGTGGTATAGAGCAATAAAAAATATTTATGAAATTTTGGCCTGGAAAATAATAATTTTTTTTTTACCAAATATTTTCTTTTTTATTCTTACGATATCCTTATCGAATTTCGTGATAGGATCGCTCGAACTACAGGAGGGGCTGTAGTAATTAATTATCTTGCAGGGTCTATTATTCGTTGAACAGCCTGTATAGTATGCACGTTACAATATCGGCACTGTATAAAATGTGTCCTATGGACGTTTCTCTTTTGTCGTTCTTCAAGTTTTTTCGTGCCAATTTCGTTGGGCTTCAAGACAAACTTAAAGACTGAGGGGCGGAGAAGAGAATTTAAGAGAAAAATGGCAGGAACTTTTTATGTTTATATAACCTTTTATGTTTTATGCTTATAGAAACTTTGTAAATTAGGTGAAAAATGTAAATTGGGCCGCGAGAGACGCGAGTAAAAGTAAATCTCTGGTTAAGACTGTGGTTATTAGGTACCTACTGTATAGTTCAGATGGCCAAGAATGATCGATAACAAAAATTTTCGAAATACAAAAAAAAAACCAGGCCTTGTTTCACATATTTGTGGTGGACGATCCTCCAACGAATATACATATACGTGAATTTTTTTGTCCTCTTGCGAATTATTCATCGCTCCGTCCATCCTGTCTACATGCATGCTATATACATAAGTTTTGCGCCATTAAAGACGACCTACCTGGGAATATCTTGTCGAACGGGCCCATCAAAAAGGATAAATGACGGTAATGAAATTTCGCAGAGAAAACAAGGAATTCCAATAACATCATTTCTCCCTCTTTTTTCTTCTCTGCGCTTCAAAAGAAAAAAAAAAAATTCGAGTTTAAACGACTCTGGAGATTTTATAAAAATTACCCAGGATACTTATCACCTTGTGACGTCATATGGGAACATTGCCAAACGCACACGCTCTGTTCCTTACGATATAGACAGTCAAATGGTCTAGTACGCATATCAGTATAGGGGCTTATAAAGTGGTCTGTTGGGCAATCAGAATCCCTTTTTCAGGTATAAAACGTTGGCGTTATTGATTTCTCGGTTGCCCGAGCGTTGTTATGCCCTGCTGGTCTACTGAACTTTCGCGACCTGCCGAGCTGCCGACCTGCCCAATCGGCTTTGGACTTGGCCCATCGTCCGGCGCTGAATAATCGTGCGGAATCGGCCACGTTAGAAATGATTTTTACAGGACCGATAAAAGTACAGTACCTGGTATTGAGAAGAAGGTCCTAGTGAAAACGTCCCAGAGCGACGGTGGCATCGATCAGAATACGCTATAGTTAGTGGTAGTCGTATAGTCACATTAGAGAAAATTAGATTGGCCATCGCCAACCATAAACGCGTAAAAATTTTAGTGACTGCCTAGTGGGTATATACCTATATATATATATATATATATATATATATATATATATATATATATATATATATATAGCAGTAGTCTGTATAATATATAATTAGTAGGTATTTGGTATAGTGTACGCGATAATAATATAATTGACAAATAATCGAGCACCAAATTATAATTTTTTTTGTTCAATATACATATATGTATATAATGTTCGAATTCAAATCCGAATGACTTTTCCCGCCGCGCAAATTTCGTACCGTCGCCAGTGGCCGTTTGAAAGCTGAGCGAAGCTTCTCAGCGTCGGGTTTTAGGTTTTAGGATTTAGGCACAGTCGTACAATGCGGTGCCGTTCGTCAATGTCTCACTTAATGGTGGAACAATCCATTAGACAAAAATGCCCAAGCCAGCCCAACCCAACCTGAGCTTACATGTACAAGGCGGCACTTAAGGCGACTCGGCCAATGAGTTATCTCGGTTTGAAATTGAAAATTCGCTTTAACTCCACTACGTGAGGACAAGTTGAAATCGGGCGAGCGAAACGCTTAGTCGACACGAGAGCTTGCGAGGTATCGCACAATAAAGGGGACTACACGTGCTTTGGGATTCGGATATTCTGCATTGGTGGAATCCATGAAATCCGCTATAAATTTCGATTCAAGTACTATCATTTGCAGGCGTATGTAAACTATATATGTATAACCAGGGCCGTATCATAACTAATTTTCAACTATAAATATACTTCAAGCGGTGCTTTGGAAAGCTGCCAAATTTATCTTTCCAGGTCTAATGATATTTTATGAACGTACGCTTTTACCTGTTTCGTTGTTATTTTACGGTCGCGGATTTTTCGGAAAAACTGAAGAGAAAAAAATCTACACGCTTTTCCATGAACCTGTGATTTCTTTGTAATGCAGTTCGTTTTTTTTTTTTAATTTTTGTTTTTCTTTGCGTTTTCAGGAAACTTAACGTTGACTTTTTCGAAAGTGCTTTTATGACAAAGTTCCTTCGGTACGAGTGACCAAATGAAATAAAAGAAAACTGGAAGGGTAGAAAATAGATAGACAGCTAGATAGAGCACAACGAAAAAAATTCCAAGGAGTCATGAAAAAGTTCTCGAGGTTTAATGGGAGTGCCATGGGGGTGCCATGAAGATTCTATAAGGGTAGAATTTCCTTCCATGGTAAGAAACCCCACGAACGGCCCAGGAAATAAGAGACGGGAGGCGCCGGGACGCCTTCGCGTTCCACTACTTACACTCAATCTCACAATAGCACGTGGTAGCAGTGCCCGGTAGAAAGGTGATCTAATTTTTTTTTGGCCCCTTACGAGATTAGCACCGATAATACGAATCGAATTCACGTCGGCGTAGCCGATATGTGGATTGTAGCTGTGGGCGATGGCGCAGTTTTACTTGGAACTTTTATCTCTTCCTAACCTTATTAACGCTGCTGACAAAACCCGGTCGGTAAATTAGTGAACGTCCAATTTTCGGAAGTTTCCGTCGCTTTTCATTTCACCCCCTTTTCTTATCGCAAGCGTCATCGAGTGACGACATAACCTATAATTTACAAATTTAATATAAAAAAAAAAAATGGTCTACATACTGGTCAAACATTATTGACAGTATAATTGTATATTTTTGAAATTTTTTTTTCCAAATTTTAATTATCGATTAACGTTCAATTTTCAATACTTACGTTTATTCATCATTTATGATGAAGAGATAAAATCTCCGAATCCGATAAACTGATTCGATCGGTATTTCACATTTTGATCTATTACCAAAATCTGACGTCATCACTTTATTTCTATTTTCAAATTTATTCTGCCTTCATTATACTCTAGTGTCCAATAATACTCAATTGTCAATTTGCCCAATTATTCGCAGTGTCAGTGGCTGCATTTACTGAGTATATATACATATATACGTATACATGACGTGCGAATAAATATAACCATTCGTAATTAAATTATATCAACAAAAAAAACATATCCTTTCCTATTACCTTTTCTTTTTTATTCCATTATCCCATTAAGACTTGACGGTCTGTCAATTATTTTCTATTTACTAAAAATCTCCTTAAAATCTTATTAATAATACAAAATTTTAATATCTATGTTATGCATATTTAAATTCTTTATTTTTCTTAACCCCGATCAATTATTCTGACACAAGTAAGTATACAGGCTCGTTCAATTTTGATCTGTCAATTATATTTATATCTGCGCAACAAGTTACGAGTTGCGAATATGGTCGGAACTATGAAAACACGCAATTTCGTTTGGTTGGCAACACGTCCGATTATGGTCTAACATTATCCTTCAAAATCAAAACGACTTACCAACTGTCGGTTCTCATTTATCATCTGTTGGTAAAAAAAAGGTCATTGCAAATGAATCACAGCACGCGCATGCGTTTCCTGTCAATATTACTCTGCATGTCAAATATAGAAACAGCGATATAATTTTATCATTAATGACGATAAATTTTTTAATTTTTGATTTTTACTGTACCCCAAGTAACGAGGATTGAATAATTTTTCGTATGCATATATATATATATATATATATATATATTTATTTTATTTAACAAATATATTAATCTACAGAAATAAGTCGTATTTGAACGATAAATAAAAATTTGTAACAGTCGTACGTTATTACATTGTCACATTAGTTCACGATAATCAACAATACATAGACGTTACATCGCATGCTGATCCGATTATGAGTTCTATTGAAGTAAACGTTGGTTATGTGTTTCTGTAATTTAACGTGCGCCGGTGGCGCCATCTCTTGACAGTCTCTCTTATTCATCTAAGAAATGGTATATATATACGTATGTTGGCCAATATCGATAATGTCGGTCGCTACATTTTCGTGCTTGCTACGTATACCTGTGAGTACTTACGGTGTAGCGTGCTGTTAAGAGGGAATTATAACATTTGGCAATTGGTACAGTGTTCACGATAATTAGCACGTAACGCAAGAGAGCAAAGTATTAAATAATTTAATGAGAGTGCTACCGAGCGGCTGAGCCAGATAATTCTTTCGTACGATCAATTGCACGTAAAACTCAAGTTTTCTGGCCTGATCGATAATTGGTAATCAGATGGGTTTTTTCTTTTAATTTGACAAGCGTATCGTTTTCTCCGATACAAAGAGTGTCCGTTCGGTTATCAAGTGGTTTGTATAATTATGAAGTAAATTGAAATTTGGAAATTGATAATTGGTACTTAATTATACGAAGAGATAATTTTCCTCTTGTCCAATGAACATCAATGGTTGTTCCACTTAGTGTTTACGTCTGATTAATTATTAATCCACCTGTAAATTCACTTCAATCGACACTTTGTGCTAATTCAGTCTGTTAATGAATTAACATTCGACAGCTCGATTGCAGTTTTGTATATTTCTAAACGTTTATACGTATTTCGTTGGGTATCATTTAAAAGTGTCATATGTGCCCATATATACGTTTTTTTTTTTTTATTTTTTATATTTTTTATATTTGGGCTTTGTTTTTCCGTACATGTACAATTGCAATATAAAAAAATTTATAAAATAGAATTAATTTAGTATTGTATTTTTTTTGGTTTTTTTTTTTTTTCTTGACGATAAACCCACACGTACGATGGACAGTATGTCTTGTCTTTTGATTCATATGCGAATTCGTTGTCCAATTTTTTTTTCTTTTTTCTTTTTTTTTTATGAATAATTAATGATAATCAAATGATTTTGATCATGATCATAATGAATAAGCTTGAGTGCTCACATTAATAGAGGTGCGTTACTAGAATGACGATCCCTTTGAAAAGTTAATACTCGATCGCAGAGTTTTTTTCATTTTTGGCGAACTCCATTTACTTCCGTTACCGGATATAAGTCTCAGTTCGTCCAGTGACACTCCTTCGTCGACGTCATCGGCTTCCGTTTTTATTTCCATTTTCTGAGAAAATGCAATTAACCAATTTTATGCTAAAAAGAATCGATTGAAAATGTCGCTTTGGCGGATTCGTTAAAATCATGAATTAATTGTTAATTAACGTGATAATCTACTGCCGAGAAATCTTTAACGTCATTTACCTGAACAATCAGTCTTAGAAGTTGATGTTGAGTCTCCAGCGCGCTGCTTATGTCTTTCAGTCGACGTTTCTGCTTGTCCAATTCTTCCGTTATGTAATCGTCATTGCTTTCAAGTACCATGTCTGATCCTAATTTTCGATATAGAGACAAAGATAATTATTAAAATTAAAAAATAATAATAAATCACATTGTTGTCATTCCTTATAATATTTACAATCATCTACAACAACGTCTAATTGTATCGTTCAGTGAGTTAAAAGAAAATTTTGTTCACTTTTTTTTTTCTTCTTTTTTTTGAAGTAAACTATATATAAATTTGTACAGTGTGGTATTTTTATATAGGAAGTTTAATTTTACATAGTAATTCACACGGCCAGGCATAGGTGGATTATTAGGGAACATCAAAACGTGCAGCATCCAAATATTTTCCGGCATCTATCAATTTTCCGTCAATCTACATATACTTTCATAAATGATCCTCCGGATCTATATGAAGGATCGGTGTTGCTTTTTTTTTTATTATTAATTTGATTCGTTGATAGTTGCAGGATTAGTCGAAACGAAAAATGTTTAAAAAATGTATAATTTTGCAAAATAAAAAATGTCAACACACAGTGCTATGAATCGTAAGCATTACCGTGATTTCTAATTGAAATGACGCCTCCGGACGCATTCCCTATAGCTCCTTCGCGTGCTCCGTCTGCAACACATTCTACTGCTAAGCCGCTTAATCCAATTAAAGAAATATTTGCTTTACGGCAATAAGGAAAAAAGTGTCACGCGGACGCACCTCGCTTTCCTGCCGATGCTAGCGAATCATGCGGGGCCAGAATTCAAAATAGTGCGACGATTAGTTGTTATCTTCGTTGTGAATTAGGAAATAAATTAATCGAAATTGAAAAAAAAAAGATTTTTTTTTTTTAAATTGACAAGTACGTGTAACGAATTCATACGAAATCAAATGTGGATCGATTGGGAATTGATTTATGAGGAAACTGAAAGTTCTTTTAAAAAATTGTGAAGAATATTTTTTTTTTGTAATTCAAAAATATTCATCGTATATCGGCACACTTCGAGAATCTGCAAAATTTTCGAAAACTAATATACAGTGATGTTAATAATTGATGGGTCTTTTTAAGTGTTTCTTCGAAAGAGTGAATACGAGTAAGATTGTAATAATGAATTTATGCGAAGAATTCGTGGCATTGATGAATAAATGGGCAGGAATCATGCGATCATGCTTATAGATAAATATTGGGTCGTCAAGGATGATATTTGTAGTTGTCGACCGACTTTGCCTTTTTTTTTCAACGAATTTCATTCTCGACGACCCAACAATTTGGATTAATTGATAATAGCAGTTGCTTTTTTAAATTTGTGTTTTTATAATTATTAGATATTTTGAAAAAAAAAATTACGTAGACGTGATATCTCTGGTGAACTCACCATCGTCTGTGAACGGATTACAAATCCATTTCTTTAAAATGAAATCCAAAAATCCTAATTTTGATTTCATCTCGTTTGGATATACTTTCAGTTCCATTTTGTCGACTTTTGCAAGTAACATTCGCGGTAACTTCCGCTCTAATTCGGTATGCAAAACGACCTGTGCGAAAATATAACGAAATTTTACAACGTCAATATTTCACATATATACCTCAAAATAATTGTACAATCAGTTACCTGCATTGCCAGTCTTTTCAACTGTGCATTCCTACGAACCGATTCGATATCGCCTACTGCCAAACCGATCAGCAGATTCATTAAGAGAATTGGCATAAGTACCATGAACACTCCAAGTATCAAAAACGACGGGAAGGGAAATGGCAGTCCTTTTGGATTTTCTTCACGGCACGTTGAATCGTGATGATAATAAGGCTCTACGTATGTTCCCAAAAAGTCAATCTCGCCTAACATCATTGCAAACGTCCTCATCAGGGACATCGGAATGGTACTGAAGGATATATGGTTGCCCTGTTGGGTGATTCGAGAAAAATACATTAGCAATGAAAAGAAAAATGGAAAATTTCAAAATTATTTTCTTCACTCACCCTCGACAGGAGTATGTAGAATGCAAGACCAAAGGCAATTATCAGAATAGAGAAAACCAGGAGAACCTTAATAAGAGTTTGTAGAATTTCCAAAAACATCACCACGTATATTCCAACTTGGTCGAATCTACGTGAGAAAAAAGAATTTAGTTAATAAATACATGGGTTACGTTAATTGTATATAATATAATTGTATAATATAACAGTCACCTTTGTAGCAACAGCAATAAATTGAACCAGCTGAGAAAAACCGTAATGGAGGCGCATGAGAATTGAATCTCGTCCAGTCTGTCGAAAAATATCGGCACCACCATTATGCTCGAACAAATGTAAAGATGCCAGGAGACCGAATTAACGGGATCAAATAAATATTTCCAGCGTTGCTGATAAAGCTGCAAAATTTCGCGCAGGGTGTAAAGGGCAACGTAGATCATGATGATGACGGCGCTCATGAACATCATCGGCGTGGCGCGATGACTTCGTCCATCCTCGCTGAGTACATGTCGGTGAAGCTTTTGGAAAAAAAAAACAAAAAAAAAAAATGAAAAATAATTTTCCAAATAATATTTTTAATATTTTGTCTTTGCTTACGTTTCTCAACGCTGTACCGTTGTTCCATATTTTTTTGGTGTAATTAACGTTGACGATTTTGTGACCAGCATTGTTGCTGAGATTCATGAGCTGCGACGAGAATATCGTGACGAATGCCAAAAATATAGTATAAAACAGCAAATTCGCTATATGAAAATATTTGCCGTAGCTGTTCCATTTCATTTGCAAATATTTTTGACTCAGCGGATGAGCAAGCAATTCGACTCTTCCGTGAACAACCATAGCCTGTAGGAATACGTGGAGTTTTTCACTTGTAATTTTGTCATATTTTCTAAAAAAAATTTTTTAAATAATAAATTTTGCAATTCTTCTTTTTTGAACTTACATTCAGTGCTGGAAGTGGACCAGGTGTGACAGCAGTCGAAATTTCACCTGTCTCTTCGTCCGTTTGTGAGCATTGGAGAGACGAGAAGGAATACTTTATCTGTTGCAAGGATAAAGAAAAAAATGAGTTTACTCTGAAATTTCACAAATTTTTTAAACTCCGACCTCCGTTCACTTTTCACTTACGTAAAATGATTTCGAGTCTTTTTTGCAATTGGCCTTCGTAATGCACTTGTCCTGCACTGCCTCGAATACACGTGGCATCGATGCAATAAGTGCAAGGGTAACGCAAGGATGCTTATCAGACTTTAAAGACATAATTTCTTGAGCTCTGCAAAATGATCGATAATCAAAATCCAAAAACTCTACCTCGCAGTTATATCAAAATTGAAGAAGAAAAAGATTCTCTTGAAATTTACCTTTCCTCGTGCGTGACCATTACTAGTGCAGCTTCTGGAAATTTGTAATAAATCGCATAATCGATGGCGCTCATGTCCATATCGTTGTAGAGCAATTGACAGTTCATCGACAAGAGCAATCCAATTGCACTGGGTTTGTTCTCCATTGTTGCCAGATGTAACGCAGTGTTGCCGTCCTTGTCGGTTTGATCGAGCAGCTGCGAGTGCACGCTGTACAACAATTCTATTGTTTGCGTGTAACCACTCATGGCGGCCAAGTGCAGTGGATTTCGGCCATTGTGATCCCGATGCAAAAGTGCACCCCTATTTAATAGAAGCTGCACCACGCGTGTATGACCTGAAACAATGTTGCATTTGTACGAGGGAAACAACATTTTCTTACCGATGCACTTTTGTGCATCCTTACCTTGCTGGGATGAAATGTGCAACGGTGTCAAACCCTCGCCATTACTCTCGTTTATTATAAAAGTTCCCTTCTCGGAATCCAACAATTGCCTTACTGTGTTGTATCTGCCGTATCTGCAACAAAAAATTGTTGTTTAACAACAATGAAAAACATTTCCTTCCAACACGCTCAATCGTACCTTGCAGCAAAGTGCAACGGGCTCTCGTTGTTGTTGTTCTTCAAATTGATGCAAGCGCCGAGCTTTATGAGATTCTCCAAGCTTCTTATGTGACCCTCTCGACTTGCATAATGCAACGGCGAACATCCGGTTTCGTCCTTCTCGTTCAGGAGGAGAAGTAAGCTCACTTTGCACTGTTGAAAAACAAAAAAAAAAATTAAAATACAAACAATGAAGATTATTTTTACAAAAATAATAATTTGGTTTATACAAACTTTGTTAACTTCGGCTGCAAACTCTTCTAATCTTCCGCCGTTCATGACTACCAAGTGCAAAACGTTTCTGCGATTGACATCTTTCAAATGAATATTCGCCCCAAGACGAATCAGACAGTGCACTGTGCGCCAGCCGCTTCTCGCAGCTGCCAGCAACAGTGGGGATCTCCTCTCTTTGTCGAGTGCATTCATATCTGCACCTGCATTCGAATTTCAAGTCGCGAAGTTAATGGGGTGAAAAAAAAAAATTTTCAAAATTTTTTTTTAAGCGATTAAATATTACCTTCCAAAATGAGATACTCCACTATTTCAGGATGATCGAACATGGCCGCGCAGTGGAGTGGCATCATTTTCTGTATATCGCAGGATGACAGGCATGTATACTTTTCGGAGGGTTGCAGGGCGAACATCAATTTGACAATTTCAATTGCACCCTGTGCACAGGCCAGATGCACCGGCGTTGAGAGATCCTGTTGTTGCGTCGATATCTTCGCGCCGGACTTGAGACACAGCTCCACTGCCTTGAACAAAGTGAACAATAAGTTTCATGGTTGTCACCTATTTTTGCGGAAGGCAACAATAAAGAAATTTCACGACGAAGATTTTAAATTTTTTAAAAAAAATTTTCTCTCAACATGAAAATATTAATTTGATACCTTTATGTCGCCCCCGTGCACCGCCGAGTGCAACGGTGCATTGCCCTCGGCATCGTGCAGCGAGATCATCTCCTCCCTGCTGCATCCGCGCGATTCGCCCCACTGAAGGAAAACCTCCATTGTTCTCGAAGATGCATTTTTCGCTGCGTTGTGTATCGGGTAGTAGCCGTTGTTGCAGGCCTTGCGAGGGTTCGCGCCGAAATCTGTAATCTGATAGATTTTGTCCATTCGACAAAATGCATCGTGAATGCAATTAAAGTGCACGTGGAGATGCGTTACTCGTAAACATTAAAGACAGCAGTTATACCGAGGAATGAAATATAACGTAAATCATAGGCACTACGAAATTTCTTCAGACAGTCAAACAACACTGGGGATGCATGAGAATTTATTTTCGATAATTCCAATCGATCAGAATTCCAATGACAATGACAATTGTGCACCAGTATGATCTATTTTAGAATTGACTTGCAGCCAACAATTTTTTTGAAAATTTTCTCCAATTATTCAATACCCACCTCCCCATCGATCGAACTCACCAGGATGCGAGCGCATTCGTCGTGGTCGTACATGGCCGCTATGTGCAACGGTGTTCTGCCATGTTCGCCACCCTGCTGCACGTCGATTCTGTCACGATACTTAATCATTGCACTTAGAACTGTAACTCTGTTCAGTTCCGTAGCAAGATGCACGGGCGCCTGTTTCTTCTCGTTAAGGATGCCACTGCGGGCACCGCTGCAAATTGAAAAAAAAAAAACAAAAAAAAAAAAAAAAAAAAATACAGAAAAGTAAGACAAACCAAGAAAAAGTAAAGGACACAAATTTCAATTATTCTCGATTCCACTTATTAATTACGGGCGTGAGCAATAAAAGTGCATTAACGAAATGCAAGGAGAGAAAACGGAGTTTCTCACTTTTTTAATAGAAAATCAATTGCATCCAGGGACGTAGACTCCACGGCGATGTGAAGTGCAGTGTTTCCGCTATTGTCCTGAATATCGAGGTCTGTAAAAACAAATATATTTTTTAAATTAAAATCAACACCGAATCATATCGATTGACAATCATATTAATTGACAATACAAACCTCCGCCGTGGGAATATATAAATTCCAGTATGTTAACCCGATTTCTAGATGCAGCCTGATGCACCGCTGCCCTTCCCCTACCGTCACGTATTTCTAGTCTCTTTGGATCTGCTTGATACAGTCGATTAAATTCCTCTATATTTCCGCTCTCTGCCGCCTATGACGTATCAACCAGAAATCACAATAATAATACAAGCCAATAAATTCATGCGAACTGAAATAATTGCGTCTGTCGTTAATTAAATTCACTGGGTCACTCTGGCTTGCAGATAGTATATCTACAAATTGATCAAACAATTATTCTACCGTTGCAACATGAGTATAGGAAACCACAAAGGGCAAACTTCTCATACAACGCACTGTGCAACTTTTGCCATTTCTCCTACGAAAATACTCAGGCCATTCAAACTTAGTAATAACACGTGATAACGTAACAAGATAAGACAGTAGTGATAAAAAAAAAAAGACGATTTTTCGAAAAATTACAAAAATATTTTCTATATCAATATTTTACCCATAGGACTACAAAATACAAGGGGTAGCAACAATTGTATTTAAACAGTATCAAAAGGCTACCGATACAGTGATCACTACGTCGACCCCTGAAACTTACTCTCAGTATACGAAAGGGACTATGACGCAACAAGCAGATTTCGGCTGGCTTGTCAGGATGCATTTTTGACGACGTCTTTTTCCCACGCATGAAACGATACGACGCCTTTGGCAGCATCGTCTGCAATTCGCCGGTCGTGGTATCCTTGATTTCTGCGCTGTTACGATTTGTCATCCAACTCTGTAATTGGATAAACAAATTGCCAACTTCGATGACAGATTTAATCAGATGGGTGAGTTTTTTATTAGACGTCGTAGGGATTCGATTGCGACACACGTGAGGTCTCCACATGTCTTATTTATGAATGAGTGGTCAGGGGGGCATGGGAGGGGAGGTTCCTGGAGTCGGGAGCGAAGTTAATTTTTTTTTTTTTTTTTTTTTTTTTTTTTT